ACAAAACCCTCCTTTGTCAGGAGTCATTTGTCACACAAAATACTCCTTTGTTAGGAGTCATGTACCACAAAAAACCCACTTCTCTACCCAGCAGGAGGTACACACAAAACACTCCTTTGTCAGGAGGCATGTACCACACAAAACCCTCCTTTGTCAGGAGTCATTTGTCACACAAAACACTCCTTTGTCAGGAATCATGTCCCACACAAAACACTCCTTTGTCAGGAGTCATGTACCAAACAAAACACTTCTCTACCCAGCAGGAGTTACACACAAAACACTCCTTTGTCAGGAGTCATGTATCACTACACTACTCTTAGTACTCGGTAATCCTATTTTGTTGTCCTGGGTTCAACTCTTAGTCCTCGATAATGCTTCTTTGTTGGGTTGGTCTTCTAGTATTTGGTATTTGGTAATCCAACTCTGTAGTCCTGAGTTTGACTCCTAGTATTGGATAATCCTACTCTGTGGGTCCTGGGTTTGACTCCTAGTACAGAGTAATCATACTCTGTAGTCCTGGGTTTGACTCCTAGTATTTGATAATCCTACTCTGTAGTCCTGGGTTTGACTCCTAGTACTCAGTAATTATACTCTGTAGTCCTGGGTTTGACTCCTAGTACTCAGTAATCATACTCTGTAGTCCTGGGTTTGACTCCTAGTACTCGGTTATTATATATAATCCTACTCTGTAGTCCTGGGTTCGATTCCTAGTACTCGGTTATTATATATAATCCTACTCTGTAGTCCAGGGTTTGACTCCTAGTACTCGGTTATTATATATAATCCTACTCTGTAGTCCTGGGTTCGATTCCTAGTACTCAGTAATCCTACTCTGTAGTCCTGGGTTTGATTCCTAGTACTCAGTAATCCTACTCTGTAGTCCTGGGTTGGAATCCTAGTATTAGGTATTCCTGGGTTTGACTAGTAATTGAGGTAAAATGTAAAAAAGAGACCTTGGTGAAATCTTTATAACACAAACACCAATAAGTTCTATCACCTTGTAGTAAGAATGGACTAGATTGTATGTAAACAGTTAAAAGCGTCCAAAGTAACTGCTCGGAAGTTAGTTGAAAGGTTAATAAAACCACCTAAAGCATTTAATTTTCCTTGTGAATAAAAAAAATTAGGTTGCAGATCCAACAGAGTGGTAAGTGTTTATTAGATAAAGATTCCCAGGCCATAGAATGGAGCATTATATTTATAGATTGTCAGCTAAAACTCCAGCACACTCCTAACCCCACAGTCTCAGGCCTACAAACTCCACTTTTACAATCTTCTGATAAAACCATTATGTTATCGAAAGTCGATGGATGACAGACTCCAAGTGTGGCATAAAATCATCTTGGTCTTTCCGACCAGGTGAGCTAATGATACCAAAGGAAGTTTCATTTAACTTGAGTGTAACTAAATATGATGTATTTCTGGACCATAACATTGTTTTAAGGCATGAAGGGATAAACATCAAATTAAACAGCTCCCTAATCAACGAACACTTCTTCTCAGCATGCTGCTACCCCTTTGTCCAGCTGGGTAGACTTGAACAATTAGAGTATACTATGGTGCCTTAGTCAAGGATTCCTTGAAAAGAACAATACGTATATACATACATATAACTGCTGTCAGTGTGTTACACAAAATAGGAAACTTTTATCAGTCCAGGGTCAATGAGCTGTATACCAGGAGCCAGTGGTCAGCAGGTCACAGATAAGACACATATATATATATTAATCTAACATAGATATATATTGTACATTCCCATCAAGTTGGTATCCTGCATGAACACCTAGTTCTCAAAAGAAACTCCAGGTGTTCTCTAGCAGTCAAACAATACATCTGCCTCCATTACAGTACCACCTCCATGGTAGAGATAATTTCAGTACATTACGATAACTTCACTTCATAGGAAATGTTTCCATTTTCAAGTGTGTAACCAATGACAACCGACATAGGCAACCAGTATTGATAGAGTGTTTAATAATAACTCTGCTATTTTTCCTCTGAAGTGTGAAACCCCAAAATAATTTCAACACCAGATACATAAGTAATACTATGATGCATGGAAGTTTATAAACTGCACAACCTCATTATAATTTACTGATCAAAACATGTTGTTTTAGTTTTGAAATTGAAGCGTCAACTGGACAAGGTCTCAAAACTGGTCATATTTCAGCAAAACACTGTAAGATTTCTGATCCTGCAATTCAGTTCCTCTTATAATCCACATGCCATCAAAGAGTTCAAATTCGTCAACAATACCCAACACAGCTCATAGTGGAAAACAGGGTAACTATTTTTCAGATTTTGGAATAAAATGTGAGGCTGTTGATTTTGACAGAAACCCTAGGAGGTCAGCTGTTTATGGGCAAACTTACATCACTACAAAATACACTTGGACTGATTTGTTGCTTAAAACTTCACACGAGTACAAAACAACATGGTATTTTCAGGTGTGCAATACAGGCAAAACACATGAAATTACGGAAGCTGAGATACTTCTGGTCATCAACCAGTCCAGTTCCACTACCTCTAAATGGAATATATTTCCTCTTCATAATATAACTTATTAAAGAAATTAGAAATGAAACCAACTTACCGATCATGTGGAGGACTTCTAATGAGGACAGACAGCTGTAGATCCGGCGCATAAACCCCTCGAGGAAGATCACCTCGGACAGACACAGGCACAGACTTCGTAAGTTACAAGGAAAGGCGTTGAGGTCATTGAAGTCGTGCAATTGCATAGCATTGGAAAAGTCTAGGGTCATGTAGTTCAAGTTTGGACACTTGTTGGCCAGTTCGTGTAATATGGGAGCAGTGATCAATTCACACGGGAGTTCTATATACTTCATTGTGGAACCGAAACGTATCCCGATCAGGGATAAAAGCAGGTCTATGTTAGTAACGTGTAATCCTGAATACTCTGGCCGTAGTGATACAACGTGCCACAATCGACTATCGTAAGCCAACATGCGCCATTTCTTGCACACCTGCGCTACGTAACTTAACTCTGGATGCTTCAGGTAGGAAAATACTTTCAGCAGCAACTTTTCTGGAATCTTCTGGATTGTACAGCTCTGAAATAAAACAAAAGTCATACATTAGATACTATTTAAATACTGCATGAATATACGTTGATATTCTCAATGTCTCCTTTGTATATGAATCTACAAAATGAACATTACAACCATTATGTTATCAATATATCCAGGATAAAGACTCCTCCATTTTTTATTTTGTAAGATGCATTTAAGTTCATTTAAATACTGTATAGCTTTGAATCAATCGCTTGAGTGACAAAGATTATTTAAGTGCTTATTTGCCAATATTGCTTTAATGACGGTACACATACATGTGTACAACTGATACAAAACACAGTAATAATCAAAGAACCCTTTCAATTCATTGACCAATAGCTGAATAGTGAATGTAAATACACAAATTGAACAGCATTTTTTTAATTGCCACACTGGTGTGAATGCAAATAGCTTACATAAACTATTTAACATAATTCATTAGTGGGATAGAATGTTCATATGAGTATGATAATAACAACAAAACCATCACAGGGTTGTGACAACATAAGCCTGTCACATTTCATGTAGTATCCCATTCATCGTTAAATTGGTGAATGTACACAAAATAGCATCATGCTTACCTAAGGTTCTGAAAAATCTTTGGTTTAAAATGAACAAAGGGCTGTAACTCTGTATATAGATTGGCACAGGACCGGATTTTAGTATGTGACACTCAATCTTCTAAAAATACATGTACATAAGTATAACAAGCTAGGGAAACAAAAGGGAATTAGCAAGGAAGTTCAATAAGAAAACAAAAAACTCTGTATAAAGTGGGGCACATCACCCAGTTTTATTATGCAACACTTTGCGATGGAGGCGTATAAAGGGACATAAAAGAAATGTTGAGAAATCAGGAAAAGCAGGACCCTTAAAGTTTGATGGCAGTATGCAAATTGGTAAGTGAAATGAGATGCATTGTATAAAGCTTGTAATACACGTAAGTATATGCCACAACCAGGAAGTCAACTAATGTTAATATGATGCAATGTGGCTCAGTTTCTGTTTAACTCCATCTGTTCAATAAATAGAATTACAAGTGTATCTCCAAATAAAATAGAATATATCACTACTTGCTACATACCACATCATTGATATAAGACTACCAATCAGGAAACAATGACATATGAAGTATAAATTTACAATGAATCGTTATTTTATGTTGCAAGGTGGTGCATGTCCCGGCGCCAGACAGTTTGCAATATTTTACAAGGAACGAATCTCAGCCATCAATATTTGATATGATACTGTAACAGTTTCATAGGAGGACATTTTGACATTTGCATTTAATATGCCTCCATAAATTTATCTATACCAGATCCTGTGACTGTGTGTGACTGTTATTACAATTACAATTTATAACAAAATTAACTGTATTTTCATGTAACTATAGATAGCATTACTACAATTCTGTTAGTACTGGTATGTAAATTGCTAATATTCAAGTGGTCCTTTTTTTTAGAAATTGTTGTGAGTGTTTTACCATATTTCACCACAGAAAAACCCAGGGACCTTAGAAATGGAAACAAAATGCTATGGACCATGACTATTTTGTGTGATGGCTCATCCAATCTTACAGACCTAAGGTACAATGTATATTCTATATAGTTATAACTTCCACTCTCCACTCAGCATTGTTAACTCATTCACCCCTGAAGACGCATTTGAACTCCTATAATTCAAAGGTTGGAATAGTTCATTATGAAATTTTAGAGGTGAATGAGTTAATCCAGCCACCACTTATCTGTTTGTCCAAATATCCAGCCTTGATCATCCAGCCAACACTAAACTTTCTGTGAAGGAATGTGGCTGGATTATCTATAGGGAATGAAGGTAGTTGGATTGTCTATCTACTGGTTAAGAAGGTGGTTGGAATGTCTAACTGGTAAAGAAGGTGGCTGGTTTCTCTACTGGGCACACTGTTATGTTATTAACCCAATAAGGACATTGATGTAATGTTGTAACATATCACCATTGATTTCCTCTGTGTGGACACAAGAAAATCTTATTCAGTGGGAAAACGTCATTAGGCTTAAGCTTATCATGCAATCATTAGGTGGAATACACCAGCAGGCCTATAACTTGTTTTTCCATTGAACCTGCTGAGGATTTCATAAAACAAACAGATGTGGAAATCATAACTGTTTGGGAGGTAAATGGCTTTGCTAGAGGAAGATCCATGGAAACAATGTTTGAGGGTGATTGGGGTACTTGGTACAGTAGTATAGTGGGATGTCATCTTCTTGTCATGTACTACCAGTGAGTAGGGATCTGGTAGTATACCAGCGTGTGTGTGTGTGTGTGTGTGTTGGGGGAGGGGGATGCTATGCAAATAGTCACCTCAGTAATTCTACCTAACCAGGCAAGATAAAGTAGTCTGGACTATTATATATATATACATGCCAGCAAACATGGATGAAAGCGAGAATGTACTTTCTGAGTACTTGTAATCTAGACAGATAAGATGGGCTGAAGAGCCCTTTGAATTTTCTCCTAAAGCCATGGTGGGGTTTATTGGGAGATCATCCCCTTCAGATATTGGTATCACACCTCAAGACTGTGTATCAGCTTGTCTCTGATGAACTGTTACAGTAAATATCCTTAAATGTTTGAAGGTTCATATCATTTTATTGCAGATTAAACCTTGTATATGTTTATATGATTATCCCAACTGCATGGACTTACTGTTCGAAGTTAAGTTCAGGATGGCCCTTGGTTGGAACTCATTTGGCCCATTGCATCCCCATCTTAATTACTTACAAAGGTAACTGCTGGTATTTGTACCAGAAGATATTTCTTCATACACATATGTCATTACCAACACTACAGTGTAAACGGGGCTGATCAGGTCACAGTTGTGAAGGCCATTTCCATCTGAGTAAATACCCTGTAATCACTTCCAGCCTGTGTCAGAGTTATATCCATTATGATCATACGCGCAGCTGACTACTGGATAATGTCTCCCATTACATACCTATACCATGTACACCAATCCAAGGGTCATGGCACAGATACCGACCCCATGGTCAGTATATATACCTATACAATGTAAACCAATCGAAGGGTCATGGCACAGATACCGACCCCATGGTCAGTATACCTATACCATGTACACCAATCAAAGGGTCACATATGCCGACCCCATGGTCAGTATACCTATACCTTGTACACCAATCAAAGGGTCACATATACCGACCCCATGGTCAGTATATATACCTATACCATGTACACCAATCAAAGGGTCACAGATACCGACACCATGGTCAGTATACCTATACCATGTACACCAATCAAGGGGTCACAGATCCCGACCCCATGGTCAGTATATCTGTCCTGTATACCACTCAGAGAAACATGGCATTAATCACAACCCTACAGGACCCTAAGGTTCATATACCCAGTCTGTACACCGCTCAAAGCGACATCATCTGACCTCAACCTCATGGTCCATATACCTATCCTGTGCACTTGTAATAGGAGAAAAAGAAAAGCAAGGCCAGACTAGGAATCGTCCTTACCCTAGACAGATACTCTTTACTAATTGAGCTACCTGATTGCCAATGAACAAACTAGTCGAGCTCTGCTTCATTCCTCCCTCCTTGTTCTAAGTCTTCGCCCCCAAAGACAACACTATTTACAACCCAGGTTCTGATATCCCCTTGCCAAGCATTCACTCAGCATTTTAAGCAAGGGTTGGCAAGCCCGCAAACTTGGTATTAGGAGTAGGGAAAATGCATGACCAGACTGGGATTCAAACCTGGAACCTTCTGAGCCCTCAACAGACGCTGAACCAATTGAGCTACCTGGTCACCAACAACCAACCCGGTCCAGCTCTGCTACACACCAGGCACAGATCAAAACCCCATGGTCAATATGCCAAGCCTGTACATCACCTTTACATCTGACAAGGTACACTAATGAGGTCTTAATGTCCCAGACTCCTTTGGCAGAAATCAATAACAGTCATACATTAATTTGACTGAATTCATGGAATAAAAAATTCAACACCTGTTGCAACCTGGAATAGAATTTTTCCCCACCTATAAAATATGCAAGACCTATAAAAAAAATCCTTCTAAACAGGGCTACAAAATGTCATTGTTTGGTTCCTTAAAGCAAAAAATGCTGTAAGCTATGAGCTTCACAGTTGCAATTGTATGCCTTATTTATTATGATTTAAAGCCTTCTGCAGGATTGATGAGTAGGTTCGTAGCTGTACCAGAAGTAGTTATCTACTAAAAACAAAGGTCAGATTCCATCACAGCACCACTGGATCATAACAAAGATCAGTGAAGACGTTGTTCTTAACTCTACCATAACACAGCCTATCACTGCACTTCTCTACCATAACACAGCCTATCACTGCACTTCTCTACCATAACACAGCCTATCACTGCACTTCTCTACCATAACAAATATCAGGGGTAATACCTATCAGGAATAGGTCACCTCAATCAGGTAATCAATGTCATTAAATAAAGACATTTCTACTTTTTCTGAAGTAAACGTTATCAGGTTTTTCTTTCATCAACGATAACAACACTGGAATTAGCAGAAATAAACCACACTGCTAATGACCCAGTAAGAGCACCAGGTGCAAGTGAATTACCCAAGAAGTGAGATGTCATTACTTGAGATTTTTCTTAAATTAGACAAAAAAAAAGTATCTAAGAACAGGTATTGCGATCTTGTTGCTGAAATGCACTCAAACTGTTAATACCAGTAAATAGCACTTCAATACATCTTAATACATCCTTGACAGGTCAAAACAGAAATTCCTGTGAAAGTGTGCGATGGGCCTATACTACTTCATCATGCTGTTGTATAATTTTTCACTGTCTATATATATGAACAGCACTAGAACCCCTAGCCTATAGGTTATAATTTCAGCCAGGACCCCTATATGTTATAATATCAGCCAGGACCCCTGTAGGTTTTAGTTTTAGCCAAGAACTCTGTAGGTTTAGATTTTAGCAAGGACCCCTTTAGGTTTTAGTTTC